AGGACTGAAGAGGCTGAAGACATAATGAGCTTGTATTAGCAGACAAGTTACATTCAGTTTTATGAAGTTTGGGGTCTGATGGGCTGAGATACAAATAAACTGATTTATTTTTACATATGGCTGCTTTTCAGGACCACATGGTGACAATGCACGATGTGCTTGATGCTCAGTGGCTGTATGATAACCACAAGGATGAGAGTTACCTGCGGCGAGTTGTTTACCCTTTGGAAAAGCTGTTGACGTCTCATAAACGGCTGGTTATGAAAGACAGTGCAGTAAGTTCCAGCTTAGGAGTTCATGTTTAGACAGAATGTACTCCACAGATGAGGCTTGTTCCTTTTATTGTTTTCCAAGTCCAAACCAAGTATAGTAATTTAAAGTAAAAGTTTAATGGTAGGCATACTTAAGGCACATTAAGCCGGGCACAGTGGCTGATGCCTATAATCCCAGCACTTTGGCAGGCTGAGACAAGAGGATCACTTGAGCCCAGGAAGGAGTTTGAGACAAGCCTGAGTAACACAGTAAGACCTTGTCTTCACAAAAATAAAAAACAGCCAAGTGTGGTGGCACATGCCTGTATTCCCAGCCACTTGGGAGGCTGAGGTTGGAGAATTGCTTGTGCCCGGGAGATCGAGGCTGTGAGCTATGTTTTTATGATGATCAGATAATTAGCCTTTTATAAAATAAGACATATTACTGTTCTTGCTGTAACTTGAGGGATAAAAATTTCTGGATATTTAAAATATTTGTGGTTGGTAATTACTTATATTCAAATCTTAAATTGTATAGATGTTTCCATTTTTTATGCATATAGTCTATAATAAATACTGAAAGATGGCACCATAATAAAATGCAGTCACACACAATGGACAACATAAATGTAATGTCTTCTCCTTATCCAACCATTGGCCTGTGGCTGAAAATAAAGGGAGGGTAGAATGTGATCAGCAAGAGATCTAGGTGGGTAGAGATGGCGTAAGGTAGATGGGTGCATTAGGTACCATTGAACCTCTGAAGAGGTGGCCTTAACTTGTACCCATTGGCCTATAAATTCTATACCAAGACTTTTGTGTGATTGGTTCAACAGGCCTCACTAATCTTGTTTGTAAGTTCTTTTGGAGCCTGTTATTGCCTGTATCTCCAGTAAATGTATTCTTTCTCCTGATAAGGGAGAGAGAGGAGCAATTAAGGAATGCTAAGGCTGTTTTTTATGTTTAAAATGAAAATATCGGCCAGGTGCAATGGCTCACACCTGTTATTCCAGCACTTTGGGAGGCCAGGGCAGGCAAATTGGTTGAGCTCAGGAATTTGAGACCAGCCTGGGCAATATGATAAAACCCTGTCTCTATTAAAAATACAAAAATTAGCTGGGCGTGGTGGCACATGCCTGTAATCCCAGCTACTTGGGAGGCTGAGGCATGAGAATCACTTGAACTCGGGAGGCGGAGGTTGCAGTGAACTGAGAATGCGTGACTGCACTTCACCCTGGATGACAGAGGGAGACTCTGCCTAAAAATACAAAATAAATAAAATGAAAATACCTCTAGTCTCTAGAACCTGAAAGTCTTTACTACTTTTGAGTCATGTGTGGAAAGTACAGAGAGCGGTGCCTAGCACAGGGAGGTAGCTGCTGCTCTTCTGAGTCCCTTCATGCCCCTTACAGCTAGTAGGCTGTCAGTGCCATTAGCTCTGTTTCCTGGTCAGGCCCCACCCTCTTGTTATCCTACTTAATCTCGTGTGGGTGTGGGGTGGAGGACAGCAGCTGGGGCCCTTACACATGGTGCCATCTCTGCAGGTAAATGCCATCTGCTATGGGGCCAAGATCATGCTTCCAGGTGTTCTCCGATATGAGGATGGCATTGAGGTCAATCAAGAGATTGTGGTTATCACCACTAAAGGAGAAGCAATCTGCATGGGTAAGAGGGGAGGTTTGTTTTTTAAATTGTAAATTTTTGTGGTTATGTAGTAGGTGCATATATTTATGGGGTTCATGCGATGTTTTGATATAGGCATGCAATACATAATAATCACATCATGGAGAATGGGGTATACATTTCAGGCATTTATCATTTGTGTTACAAACAGTCCTATTTTACTCTTAGTTATTTATCACCTTAGTTATTTTAAAATGCACACAAGTTATTATTGACTATAGTCACCTTGTTGTGCGATCAAATAGTAGGGTCTTACTCAACTTGTTCATTCTTTTGATTTTTGTTGGTGGTAGTGGGTTTTATTTTTGTTGCTTTTTTTTTTTTTTTTAGACCGAGTCTTTTTTTTTGCCCAGGCTGGAGTGTAGTGACACGACCTCATCTCACTGCAACCTCTGCTTCCCAGGTTCAAGCAATTCTCATACCTCAGCTTCCCAAGTAGCTGGTATTACAGGTGTGCATCATGATGCCTGGCTAATTTTTGTATTTTTAGTAGAGATGGAGTTTTGCCATGTTGGCCAGGCTGGTCTCAAACTCCTGACCTCAAGCGATCTGCCCTCCCAAAGTGCTGGGATTACAGGTGTGAGCTACCATGCCTGGCCTGATTTTTCTTTTTTTTTTTCTTTTGTACCCCTTAAGCATCCCCTCCTTCCTGCCAGCCCCCCACTACCCTCCCAGTCTCTGTTAACCTTTTACTCTCTATGTCTGTCTATGAGTTCAATTGTTTTGGTTCTTAGTTCCCACAAATAAGTGAGAATACACAATGTTTGTGTTTCTGTGCCTGGCTGATTTCACTTAACATAATGATCTCCAGTTTCATCCATGTTGTTGGAAATGACAGGATTATCAGGATATCATTCTTTTTTAAGGCTGAATAGTATTCATTTCATTGTGTATATGTACAACATTTTCTTTATCCATTTATCTGTTGATGAGCACTTCAGTTGCTTCCTAATCTTGGCTATTGTGATCTCTGATAACACTGATTTCCCTTCTTTGTGGTATATACCCAGCAGTGGGATTGCTGGATCATATCATAGCTCAGTTTATTTTTTTGAGGAGCCTCCAAACTGTTCTCCATTGTGGTTGGACTAATTTACATTCCCACCAACTGTATACAAAGCTTCCCTTTTCTCCACATTCTTGCCAGCATTTGTTATTGCCTGTCTTTTGGATATAAGGCATTTTAACTGGAATGAAATGATATTTCATTGTAGTTGTGGTTTGCATTTCTCTGGTGATTAGCATTGAGCACCTTTTCATATGCCTGTTTGCCATTTATTTGTCTTCTTTTGAGAAATGTCCATTCAAATATTTTGCCTGTTTCTTGACTGGATTATTGGATTTTTTTCCTATAGCATTGATTTCCTTATATATTCTGGTTATTAATCCCTTGTCAGATGGGTAGTTTGCAGATATTTTCTCCCATTCTTGTACATATGGATATCTAGTTTTCCTAGCACCATTTATTGAAGAGACTGTTTTTTCCCCAGTGTATGTTCTTGGCACCTTTGTCAAAAATGAGTTCAGGGTAGGTGTGTAGATTTGTTTCTGGGTTCCCTATTCTGTTCCATTGGTTTATGTGTCTCTTTTTATGCCACTACCATACTGTTTCGATTACTATAGCTCTGTAGTATAATTTGAAGTCAGGTAATGTGATTCTTCCAGGTTTGTTCCTTTTGCTTAGGATAGCTTTGGCTATTTTGAGTGTTTTGTGGTTCCATATAAAGCACCAGTGTTTAACTCGTGAAAGTTTAGCTACTATTGGATTGTCTCTTAAGACTTTAAATGCTCTGCACCCTCTTAGTGAATGAACCTTAGAGCCATTCATTTAATGGGTCTAATTTGCACCAGAAGTAAGCATGTCATCAGGATTCCTTAGCTCTGTGAGCAGGCAAGGCAGCCACAGCCTATGGACAGCAGCAGTAAAGGAATCCTTAAACTTCAAAGGCTCTATGGCCCCAAAGGGAATGTGCATGCCATTTCTACACATGTCATGAGCTGCAAGCCCATTTTGTGTATCTTTAGGTGCTTTGTGAAGTTTAATGTCATTTCAAGGGCCTCCTTCCTGTAATGGAGGATTTCTTCCACGTGCACATCCTGAGCAAAGGAAACCCCAACTAAAATAGTACAGCTCAGAGTTTTAAAATTTTAAAGTGGCATTGAACAGTAGAATTGGGGCTCATCAATTATCAATTCTTTCCCCTTCAAATAATTCTTTTCTTTTTTCAATGCCTGTAGCTATTGCGTTAATGACCACAGCAGTCATCTCTACCTGCGACCATGGTATAGTAGCCAAGATCAAGAGAGTGATCATGGAGAGAGACACTTACCCTCGGAAGTGGGGTTTAGGGCCAAAGGTAGGTGGGACTGGGTTGCGTGCCCTGCCAGGTTCTTTTGTTCGGCGTTGTAGAACAGTTAACTTGGGCAGCTCTTGATGTATTTCACCGTGGTAGACTTGTCTTGTGCTGGGCTCCGGATTGTCAATGAGTGGAAACAGGCCCTGTCTTGGACCTTAGAGATTTTAATCTAATGAGGGGAAACAGTTGGGCATTACTTACATAATCACACAGTGGAATGGTAATTTTCATCCATGTTGGTGGCTACCAAGGATTGCAAAGAGGTGTCAGGCACCTGGAGAGTCCAGTGGTCAAGGAGACTGGGGAAGGGGTTGTTGTTAAGCCAGTGTGAAGAGTGGGTTAGCTGTTGATGAAGCTAAGTGAAGAGGGGAGGGTTCAGGGCAATGGGAACATGCAGCATGTGCAAAGGCCAAAGAGTACAGTGGCTGTGGTGGGGATGTGTGTCACCAAATGGCACTGCAGAGGCTCTTACTAATACGCCTTGTGACCTTCAACAAGTCCTGTGTTTGTTGGAGTTAGTGGGTGAATTCTGAATGTTCTGGATAGGAGTTTGAGGTCCTTCTGAGAATACACTAGGGAGGAACCTTGTTCTGTTATGTGCAGTCACCATGCCCACTTCCTGCATTGAAACCATTCTAATGTTGGCACCTTGACGTTCCATCAGGCCAGTCAGAAGAAGCTGATGATCAAGCAGGGCCTTCTGGACAAGCACGGGAAACCAACAGACAGCACGCCTGCCACCTGGAAGCAGGAGTATGTTGACTACAGGTGAGGGCAGGATGTTTTAGAGCCAGGGGAGGGTAGAGACGGCACACTTGCTGCCTCGAAGCAGGAGTATGTCGTCAACAGGTGAGGACGGGGAGGGTAGACAGAGCCCACTTGCCATTTGGACGCAGGAGTACATGGACAAGAGGCAAGGGACAGGTGAGCACGGAATTTGTAGAGCCCCAAGGGAGTGGGAGTCGTGTGGTTTGGGGCAAACTGGTAAACGCAGGGCCACAGGAACTAACTCTTCGGGTCCCATGAGGTGTTGGCTGCCTTGGCCAGTTAGGCGTTTCAGCCTGCACGGCAGACAGTTAACCCTTTCTAGTCTGGCTGGTGGGACTCTAGAGGGAGTGTCTGCAACAGTAAGTGGTGAGTTCTTCTTTTGCCCAGTGTCAGTATTTTGATGGTGGCTTTAGACTTGCCAGATAACACTGCATAGCATCAGTACTGCCCTGGAAAGCCATTCAGTGAATTTGACCTATTGCTATCTCTCCTCTTTCAGTGAGTCTGCCAAGAAAGAGGTGGTTGCTGAAGTGGTAAAAGCCCCACAGGTAGTTGCTGAAGCAGCAAAAACTGCGAAGGTGAGTGGTGTGCTGTGATCAGTCGGAATGTGCTTAGTTGAGTCCTGAGAGGCACTGGTGTTTGTGTTGCCCTGTGACTGAGGTAAAGCTGCCTCATACTAGGGGGCTTGTTTGGGCTCTGCAGGCTCCTCTGATTTGTATTCCCTGTCGTGTCTGCTGGGAGGAGGAATATGGGCTCAGGAATCAGACCTGCCTTGACTCCTACCTCAGCTATGGCAGCAACACGGGGATAGGATGGGTTGTGGTGCATGTGTCATTCTGGCCCCCACCTTGGGTGAAATGGTAGGACAGATATGTTGAAATCAGAGGCCATGGCTAATGGACACTTGAGGCCGCACAAAATTCAGCAGAGAGCAGAATTGCCAGAGACTGGCAGGCATCTTAACCCAGCACCACCCAGTGTTTAAAGAGTCAGTTAAGCATGGGGTGGCAACTCCACCGCATGGAGCTGCTGGCATTAGAGCACAGAATGACAGGTCTACACTCAGAAACCAGGGGCGGTACTAAGTATCCTGCACAGGCTGTGTGGGAGGAGCTTCTGACTTGTCAGATGTGAATTCCTGCTTTGCCTGCTTTCTATGAGGACTCACAGGAGCACGCTCAGAGATCCTTGCAGTCATGAGAGAAACAGCTCCTCTGGGCCTTTCTGCCCCTAAGCCCCGTGCTGCTGCTGTGGTGTTCCTGTCACGCCTGCCCCAAGGCTTCTTGGATTTGGGGGATGAGACTGTCTTCAAACCCTCAGTAAACTAGGGCCCTATCTGGGTTTGTAGTCAGACAATGTCCTGTCACATTCATTTGGGATCTTGGTGCCTTGTTGCGTTTTGAACCTTGTCCATTATTGCCTAAGATCTAACAATTAACCAATTGCTTTCATCTCAGCGGAAGCGAGAGAGTGAGAGTGAAAGTGACGAGACCCCTCCAACAGTTCCTCAGTTGATCAAGAAGGAAAAGAAGAAGAGTAAGAAGGACAAGAAGGCCAAAGCTGGTCTGGAGAGTGGGGCCGAGCCTGGAGATGGGGTGTGTGTAAACACGTTCAGGTTCTTTGGGCTGGCTTAGTCTCTGCATGGGGAAAGAATTAACCCAGGTTGTAGCAGCTTGGTTACTCTCTTGAAGGAGCTGTGTCCCAGGGGGTGGGGTGCTACCAAGTGCCTTTAGTGCTTGCCCATGTTCCTAGAGTTCCCTTGCCCTCCCTGTGGAAAGGACAGATGGAGGCACCCGGCCGCCACTGCTTATAGTTAGAACTCTATTGATGGTGGGTGGAGTGGATGTGTAGCTTGGTCTGAGTGTTTCTACTTCCAAAAGTAGACCACAGAACTTTGTGTCAGGTGCAGTATTTAACCCAGAATATTCTTACAGATCCTGAAATAGCCTTGCTTGACTGTGTGGACCCTTACCAGATTTCCTTCTGGGAGAGTCATAGTTTTGTTAGTGGTTGCTATCTATGAGCTTTCTTTCTCTCTCTCTCTAGGACAGTGATACTCCCAAAAAAAAGAAGAAGAAGAAGAAAGCAAAAGAGGTAGAATTGGTTTCTGAGTAGCGAAGGCCATTTAAAGCATTGTGTCCAGCTGGGAGAAGAAACTAAAGCCTTATTGAGAAAACACGTTATAGATCCTTTTGTTGCTGAGAGAGTGGAACATAGGTTCTAGACAGGATGGAGACTTCTGGCACATTTTAGCTGCTACTTTGAGACCTCGGTGATGTTACCTGGTGTGGTCATCCCATCTTGTCCTGTTTTAAGGATATGGGTGATGAAAGATGAAAGGTTTATTCCAATGACTTCTCCGTTTGAGTTGGGAAGCCTCACCTTCAGACCCAGTAACTGTTGGCAGCTGTCTGCTAGTGGCTGTTTTAACATCGTAGTCCTAGTTTGCAGTTTTTTCCCCTCTGTCTAAAAGGTTTGTAAAAAAACAAATAAACAACAACAAAAAACTCCAAAAAACAAAAACTAAGTCTGCTCAGTGAAATGGTGTAGAACCCTAAATAAGTGAAAGAGTGTCACTGAATTTTGTCTCTGAATTCAGTGTAACTGAGTTTTGTCCATGCTAGTGTCTGCATATAGGCCTGTCTGGCCTGGTAGTTTTCTGTCTTGTTCAAGCCTAGATGTCAGTCCTTTGCACTTCCTCAAAGCTTGTGTTCAGTGCTCACCTAAATCCACCTGACTACTTGTTCCTGTGCCCTCTTGTTTTAGGCCTTGTTTACTTTTAAAGAATGAAATTGTTCATTGCTGGGAAAATAATGTTGTAATTTTTACTTATTAAAGTCAACTTGTTAAGTTTTTATGTATTCCTGTTGGGTTTTCTTATTGTTGGTGATCTCATGTTAGCAGAGCAAAAAATGTAAAATATTTTGATTAAAAATCTAGAGACCTTTATGTCCTATTTGAAATGTGATGCTTTTCCTTTATGTTTGGTTGGTTCTACATTTTTTTTCTATACCTTACACACAGTTTACCTTGGGCCCTATCAACTGATGTGAGATCAAGTACTCAGCGGCAGTGATTACCACAAACCAGTGATCTCTTTGGAACAGGGAAGGAAAGGGTTGATGTATTTATTTATTTTGAAACAGACTTTTGCTTTTGTTGCCCAGGCTGGAGTGCAATGGTGTGATTTCGGCTTATGGCAGCCTCTGCCTCCCAGGTTCAAGCAATTCTCCTGCCTCAGCCTCCTGAATAGCTGGCATTACAGGCATGCCCTACCATACCTGGCTAATTTTGTATTTTTTNTCTGCCTCAGGGCATAGTGGGGCAAGAGCAAGTGGTCGGTATTTTCTGATGCCCACAAGTTTCTAGTTTCATCTGAGGCTTTTTTTTTTTTTTTTTTAGTAGAGATGGGGTTTCACCATGTTGGCCAGGCTGTTCTCAAACTCCTGACCTCAGGTGATCTTCCTTCCTCAGCCTCCCAGAGTGTTGGGATTACAGGTTGTGAGCCACTGCTCCCAGCTGGTTGATATATTTATACATAGTGGTCCTGGCAGGAGGGTGCCAGTGAGTGTGTCCAGGGTAGGGTGGGGAGGGCGTATATATCTGCAAGACACATCTGGACTTGGGCTAAGTGGTAGGAGCCCACTGAAGCTGTCACTTCTGGTGCTGATGGCAGGGTGAGTGGGGAGAAGGAAGTCGAGGGTGGGGACATTCAGGAATCTGAAGGCCTCAGTAACATAGATTAGTGGGAGAAAGCTCTAGGATTTCTTTCAATTTGGTATTAGAAACCAAGAGAGAGGCTGGGCGCTGTGGCTCATGCCTGTAATCTCAGCACTTTGGGAGGCCGAAGCAGTCAGACCACCTGAGGTCGGGAGTTCGAGACCAGCCTGGCCAACATGGCAAAACCTGTCTCTACTAAAAATACAAAAATTAGGCAGGTGTGATGGCATGTGCTTGTAATCCCAGCTACTCGGGAGGCTGAGGCAGGATAATCACTTGAACCTGGGAGGTGGAGGATGCTGTGAGCCAAGATCCTGCCATTGTACTCTAGCCTGGGTGAAAGAGTGAGGCTCTGTCAAAAAAAAAAAAAAAAAAAGTCTTTGTGGAGGAGTCCTTGGATGCAGCAAGGAAAGGCCCATATCATGAGCCAGGTGTGCAGAGTGAACCCCAGCCCTGGCTTAGCCCAGCCTCTACTGTACCACTGGACCCCAGACTTGGTTTTTCTCTTTGTAAATATGTGTCCACGATGGGCTCGCCCCCAGATACGACAACCTTAGGGTGTTTTTCTGCATGGGCACAAAGAATGGGGATTCTTCCAGGACACTGGTGTTTGTCGTCTGAATCCCATCTGAACACAAGAGTGGCATCTTCTGTTAATGGCGTTGTCCAGGAGCTTAAGTGAAGTGGGTCACATTTGTTTTTGTGTGGAAACCCAGAGTTACAAGGTCATTGGCATTTTAACACAGCATTTTTATTGCTATTGAAGATTTCCCTTGAACAGACATCATTCTATTGCACAGATGTGTCATTTTGGCATTATAGAAAGTTGCAGTTAAAAACACTTTCTCCAAAATAAAAAGACGAAATACCCAGCATATACAGTTGAAGGTGAAGGTGGGCAGGCTTTAGAGGGATGGGGGTCCATTGCTTTTGCTGTGCATCATCTTTGAGCAGTTACTTTTTGTTATTACTTCTTACCTCCAATTCTGGAGATCCTTTTGAAATCCAGATCAGTGGAGCCCCATCTATCAGGAAAATCAAATCCCAGCCCTTCAAGAGCCTGAGCAAGAAAATTGAATCCTACTGGCTTAATTAGGATAGCTGCAGAGAGTTGGAAGCTGACACTAAACTAGGTGAAGCAGCCCTGTTTGTCTTAAAGCAAGAAGGGTGACGTTCCAAATGCTGGAGAGAGGCATACGGTGGGTTCCCCCATTCTGCAAGCTTAGTAAACCCAGGAAACAGGCACCCACTGCGGAGAACTACACGCTTGGTCGAAGGCTTCTTGTAATTTCTTAAGGGTTTCATCAACACCATTATTGACCAATGAGAGGTCAAAGTAGTGAGCGTACTGGCTGCGGATGGCCTCAGAATCCTTCTGCAGCTGCTGCAGGGCTTCTGTCTACAAAGAAGAAAGCCACAGATGAAGCAAGCTGCACCACCCCCAGCCCAGAGAGGCTAGTGACAGATTTTAAACAGCAATTGTTAGCGTTGCTCAGCTGTGCATCATACTTGACTCAAACGCGGAAGACATTGTGATATAATGTTAATGTAGGGCATGAAGAGGCAATCTCAAAAGACCATGGCAATTCTCAGAGGGTCTCAGGCTAACCCTGACTGATTAATCAGAGCTCTCTGGAGGATGAACAGCTATGTAGACATAGCATGGACTTCACCGGCATCTCTCACTTAATGCCCTTTGAACATGGAAGAGCCATTTCAACAACCACCGGAGCTGCAATGCCAAAACAAAGGTGATTTTGTTTGTTTGTTTTTGAGACAGTCTTGCTCTGTGGCCCAGGCTGGAGTGCAGTGGTGCAATCTCGGCTCACTACAACTTCCACCTCCCAGGTTCAAGCAATTCTTGTGCCTCAGCCTCCATATTAGCTGGGATCACAGGGGCCTGCCACCATACCTGGCTAATTTTTGTATTTTTTTTAGTAGAGACGGGATTTTTCCATGTTGACCAGGCTGGTCTCAAACATCAGACCTCAGGTGATCTACCCGCCTCAGCCTCCCAAAGTGCTGGGATGATGGATGAGCCACTGCACCCAGTCAGATAAAAGATCACACCTGGAATCCCAGCACTTTGGAAGGCCGAGGGAGGATGATTGCTTGAGCCCAGGAGTTCAAGACCAGCCTGGGCAACACAGTGAGACCCCATTTCTACAAAAAACAAATTTTTTAAATGTGTGTATTTGTCTTAGGCCTCTTTCTTTGACGTAAAACCAAGCGGCCATGAAAGATGAATCATTTAACTACATAAAAGTAAAAATGTCTGCATAGTAAAAAGACGTGCCAAATTGGAAAAAAAAAAATTGCAGTCGATATTACAATGATACCACAAAAAGCTACTTACCCTAATATATGCTACCTAGAAATCAAAGGCCAATAACTCAGCAGAAAAATGAGCTAAGGACATGACCAGATAATTCTCAGAAAAGGCAATACAAATGGCTTTTCATATGAAAAAGTACCCAATCATCTCTTTTAGTAAAAGAGTGAAGATGCCAGTTTTCCCTCCAGTAGATTGGTAAAAAATGAAAATTTTGACAACATCCTACAGGCAAAGAGAAACTCACAGGCGATATGCTGTATGAGGATTTGCTCAACTGTCCATCTGTGCCACTGGAACTGTGTGCCTCCAGGACAGTGACTGGATCTGGTTTGTTTGTCCCCATTACCTAGCATGGGCACTGGCATAGCTAGTGGTTTCAGAACTCAAATGAATGTGATGCCCTTTCGCTTCTTGGCCCTAGAGAAAGTGAACTCTCACCCACCCCCCACAACCCTCTCCTCACCTGAGTGCCCTGGTCAGTAGGTGCAATGAACACAATGAAAGGTGAAAGTTCTGCTGTCCGAACAGTCTTCAGGGTCTAGAAAACAAGGGGAGGAAGGAAGAAAAAGAACGTGAAAATAAAAATCCATTATGGATTCCTTCCAATAAGCAGCTTTGAGCTTTACCCCAATACTATTTTCCATCATTCCCAGCACTACTGTACTTGTTCCGGGATGACTCCATTAAAAGTGCTGCAGAAATCTTGAGCCCCAAGAAGATTCCCAAGGAGCACTGCTTTTTTCATTACCCTCTTCCCCATCCCTTGTGTGGCTGAGCCCATCCGTCCCTGCCCTTCCATGCCTACCCACCTGCGGCTCGATGTCAAGGATGGCAATCTTGTCCTGCTTATGAATCTGGTGCACTGTTTCAAATTTGGTGCCAAACATGTTGCCCTGGTAGCTGCCAAACTCCAAGAACTCGTTGGCAGAGATGTCCCTTGTCATCTCCTCTGTTGAGATGAAGTGGTACTCCTTCCCATCTTCCTCACTCTTCCTTGGTGGCCGTGTTGTATCTATACAAGAACCCAAATCTGTGACAAACTCCAGGTTCTCACCCTTTCATGAGGGCTTGGACCATGGTGTCTGTGTTGAAACCCTAGCTGCCTTTGGTGCATTGAGTTTAATAGAGGGGTTCCTCCCATGGGCTCCTGAAGAGCTGATGCTAAAAAGTGATGCAGACCAGGAAATCCCCCCATCTGCCCGGGAAACATTTAATTTTCCCTAAATGAAGTAATATCTCTCAAACCACCAAATTCAGGAATATTGAAACTCAGAAATGAAGATAGCTGAAAATATTTTAAAAACAGATCTATAGGCTATGGTCAGGATTTCTTGGAAATATATTTAAGGTTTCCTTTTCATGACTCGGAAAGAAGAGTACTTTGGTTTAGTTTCAGCTCATGTTGTTAAAAGTTGGACTGTTCTTAAAAGT